TCGAGATCTTCAGCTTCAGAACCGTAAGACGAGCTGGAAGAACAAGAGATCAACATGGTAGAAAGAACTACTTCCTGTTACTTTCAGTCCTGTTTCCATCTGACTTACATGTTTTAGGAGGAGGACTTGGAGTTGTCAGAACAGTCGTTGCAACAACAGTTGTTGAATTCAAAGTTGTTGCTAAGATAAGTGAAACATGAGTTCAGGACAAGTAGCAAAAATAAATCAAAGATGAAAAAGAAAGAAATAAATGAAATGAAAAATAAATTGTCCTACTTACATGTGTTAAGAGGACTAGTAGTTGTCAAAGGGGCGGTTGTTGCATTAACAGTTGTTGCATTAACGGTTGTTGCATTAACGGTTGTTGCATTAACGGTTGTTGCATTAACGGTTGTTGCATTAACGGTTGTTGCATTCAATGTTGTTGCTATAACAGGAACATGAGTTCAGGACAAGTGACAAAAATAAATCAAAGATGAAAAAGGAATAAATAAATAAAATGAAAAATAAATTGTCCTACTTACATGTGTTGAGAGGACTAGTAGTTGTCAAAGGGGCGGTTGTTGCATTAACGGTTGTTGCATTAACAGTTGTTGCATTAACAGTTGTTGCATTAACGGTTGTTACATTCAAAGCTGTTGCTAAGATGAGTTCAGGACATAAAAATGTATAATACATCAAAGATGAAAAATAAATCAATTAAATAAAAAATAAATTGTCTTACTTACATGTGTTGAGAGGACTAGTAGTTGTCAAAGGGACGGTTGTTGCATTAATGGTTGTTGCATTAACGGTTGTTGCATTCAAAGCTGCAGCTATAACAAAAACATAAGTTCAGGACATAAAAATTAATAATAAATCAACGATGAAATATAAAGAATTGATTTGTCATCCTACTTACATGTTTTAGGAGGAAGACTTGTAGTTGTTGAAGGGACGGTCGTTGCAACAACAGTTGTTGAAGTCACATCTGGTGCAGAGAAATCAACAGCAGAAAGAGGAAGTTCAGGAAATAAAAGGTAAGATCTAATCAAAAAGAACAAAGTGAAAGAATGACTCACCGTTTCTAACCGTCACAAGGACACATCGCAGCTCAGACTGGTAGATAGAACTGGAGGCACTGTGGGGATAATTTAACACAAAAGTTTCATATTAAACTCTTTTTGAAATGAGCATCAAATAATATTTGGAATATCCTTAAAGGGTCAGGTCAGATAATAAACAGCAGTTGTACATCTTGTGTTTATCTTTATACAGCAAAGGGAAAAGCTTTCATTTTTACATTTACTTATGCAGTGCACAAGAGAAGTCAGTTGCACAATTTAATCTGCAAACTTCAAATTCATCAAAACTTTTAGATTCATCATAAATACCTAAAATCCTCAGTGAGAGATGATTACTCCAGATCCAGAACTGGGACTATCACTTTGAGTCATATAGCGCAGTATAATGATTTGAGCTTCAGATGGGCAGTGATCATGTTTATACTGATTTCTTATGCACTCACCGACTAGATACACCTGTCCAACTGCTCGTTAATGTTGAATCAGCCAATCACATGGCAGCAACTCAATGCATTCAGGCATGTAGACATGGCCAAGACAACCTGCTGCCGTTCAAAGCGAGCATCAGAACGGGGAGGAAAGGTGATTTAACTGACTATGATGTTGGTGCCAGACGGGCTGGCCTGAGTATTTCAGAAACTGCTCATCTCCTGGGATTTTCACGCACAACTAGGGTTTACAGAGAATGGTCTGAAAAAGCAAAACTATCCAGTGAGCAGCAGTTTTGTGGGCGCAAATGCCTTGTTGATGCCAGTGGTCAGAGGAGAATGACCAGACTGGTTTGAGCTGATGGATCGGCAACAGTAACTCAAATAACCACTCGTTACAACCGAGGTACGCAGAAGAGCATCTCTGGACGCATCGAACCTTGAGGCGGATGAGCCACACCGGGCGCCACTCCTGTCAGCTAAGAACAGCAAACTGAGGCTACAATTCGCAGAAGCTCACCAAAACTGGACAGTAGAAGATTGGAAAAACATTGCCTGGTCTGATGAGTCTGGATTTCTGCTGCGACATTTGGATGGTCGAATCAGAATTTGGTGTCAACGACATGAAGCCTGGATCCATCCAGCCTGTATGGCTGGTGGGGGTGGTGCAGTGTGTGGGGGACATTTTCCTGGCCCACTTTGGGCCAGTACCAATTGAGCATCATGCCAACGCCACAGCCTACCTGAGTACTGTGGCTGACCATGTCCATCCCTTCATGACTACAGTGTACCATCTTCTGATGGACACTTCCAGCAAGATAACGCGCCATGTCATAAAGCTCCAATCATCTCAGGTTGAATTTTATAATTCTTGGGAAAGTCCATTTTTGGAGCTCTTCAGCAACCAAGGGATTTTCTGCGAGTCATTTTGTATCACTGAAGGTGAAAATTATTATTTACCTTTTGTACTTAAGTACATTTCAGAACTTATACTTTCTTATTTTTACTAAACTAAAGGAATTATTGTTGTCAGTGTTTTTTCACATAAGTGTTTGAACTTCCTAAGTCAAAAATGTGAGGATTTTTCACACTTCTGATCAGATCAGATACTGACTTTGCCTGGACAACAAAACAGATGGGATGAGTTTCTTCTTCATCAACGGCAGACGGCGTCCATGTCAGGGTGAAATTTCCTGAACCAGATGAATTCTTGGCCATGGTGAATGGTCCGCTGAACAGCAGCTCAGTGATCCTTCAACACACAGGAAACACATCAGTCTGTTTGGTTATATGTACAAAATCCCCTACAAATATTATCTTCAAAATGCTCTAACAGCCAAACTCAAGTTTGTCTGGGTTAGGGGTCACCAACCGCTTTGAGACTGGAAGCTACTTCATGGGTACAGAGGAACACGAAGGGCTGCTTGATTGATACAGACATAAAATGTCTTGGCTCAACTTTGATAACAATAATACATTTACATATATATGATTAGATGCTGCCTGATCACAGTAATGTTAAGGACTACTCACAATAGTTATCAGTAATGATCTACCATGGCAGATTGATATTATG